CAACGCGGATGTATTATATGTACGATAGCTCGCTGTCAGTATAGCAAACTCAGCATCAATCTGTTTGAAAGTTCTTGCTACTATCAAAAATAACTACTTCGAACAAGGAGAATCAAGGTTGTAAGGAGACCAACATTAAATTTCAACTGGTTTGCTTCCAATCCAGCAATATTGCACGAATGGTGGAATGCACTTCCACAATGATGATAAGAATCTAGAATTACTACCAAGCAGCAATAAGTAGGCCGCAAAATTTTGGAATTTTCTCAGAATAGAAGATTGGTGATCTGGGTGTGAGCTGATGTGTGTCACTGTGCTTGTGCGTCGGAAGATGGATCTCGAAGTGCGTGTGTGCTGGTACTTATCAGGGCATGTATGCTGCGTATATAGTCGGTGTGGGCGCACGTGCGAGTGAGTTTGCATGTGTGTGCATGTATGTCTGTACGTGTATACATGTGCATATATGTGTGCGTGTGTGGGTGAGTGTATTTGCCGGTAAGTATGTATGTATTGTGGATGTGTGTGCGTATGTATGTATGTATGTATGTATGTGTGTATGTATGTATTGCATCTATGTACGTAAGTATGAACGTACATATGTATCTATGTTGTATGTAAATTTATGTATGTTTACATGCATTTACGACGTATTTATGTGTGTATGCATGTGCATATATGTGTATATGTATGTATGTATGTATGTATGTATGTTGATGTATGTATGTATGTATGTATGTATGTATGTATGTATGTATGTATGTATGTATGTATGTATGTATGTATGGATGTATGTATGTATGTATGTATGTATGTATGTATGTATGTATGTATGTATGTATGTATGTATGTATGTATGTATGTATGTATGTATGTATGTATGTATGTATGTATGTATGTATGTATGTATGTATGTATGTATGTATGTATGTATGTATGTAAGTGTTCGTACACATCTATTTTTGTATGTATGTATGCAATGCATGTGGGTGCGTGCGTATGAATATATGGTGTATATAAGCATGTGTGCGTATATGGGCATGTGGAAGGGCTATAGTGCCGACTACTTTTTTGCCTCGCAATAAAGATCAGTATAACTCTCAAGAATGTTTAGAGCCTTACCGAGGTTATTACGCCAGAGCCATATACGTTGTTTCGGAGGTCTCGCCCTCTTCGTCAGTGACCCATGCCCCATATTAAGCCCTGCATTGTAGCAAGAAGGGAGACGTATGCGCGAGAGCTTCGAAACACGAAACTCTGGCGTAATAACCTCGTTAAGGCTTTGAGCATTCTTAAGAGCTATATTTTGTGTATGTGTGTAGCTTGTTTGTGCGTATGTATTCATCTGTCAGTGTTTGGGGTGAGTGGTATCATAGTGTGTTTGTGTATGCACTGTGTATGTGTGTGTGTGTGCCGATGCGTATATGTATATATTTTTTTCATTTGTAATGATATTCATACATTTATAGTCGCACAATTTTCGAAAATATCTTCAAACGGCGATAAGTTGAAAGAAGAAGAGGAGCCGAGAAACTTATATTAGCGTGTATCCTAATTCACTTACATATACTGAAAAATCGTTTGACCGCCACATCAACATTATTGCTGTAATGATATGAGGCAGATGTTGTTGTGGTGAAAGTAGAGCAATATTGGTGTCAAAAACAACAACCAAGACATTTCACAACTATCATCATAAGTATCATATTGTCGCTGAAATCCTCTGCAGTTTTCTTATTTACAATACCACAGCTACATAAATATTTTCATAAGACAATGTGCATATTGAGTCGACGTACACACTCAAGATATCCTTTCCACTTATTTCATATAAGTTATCAGCATGGGTGAAGTCTTTTCTCTAACAAATGAAACTTACGGAGAATGTATGTGTGTAGCAAAGGTTTGTAGCCGATGTACTATATTTATGTGGTAGTTCAGTGGATTTGTAATGTATTGTGAAGGTTCAGTGGTTTATATGGGTTATAACAAACAATAGGATGGAACCAAACAATGGCGTGGTACCAAACATGTGGTAGAACCAAACAACGTGGTAGAACCAAACAACGTGGTAGAACCAAACAACGTGTAGAACCAAACAACGTGGTAGAACAAACAACCTATAATATACATGCATTACTAAAATGATAATACAATAATATATATATATACATGATCACGACATATCGTTATGCGAACATATGCGTAAGTCAATATGGGTGACCGACTGATGAGGAGTATCGAGGACAGTGTTATGGCAAGTGGTGTTATTGTAGCTGACGGTGATGATGTTATCAAGTGATCATGTTATTGCATATGACATTGTTATTGCTTTTTGACATTGTTATGACAGATGACAATGTTATTGTAATTGAAGATGTTATCGTAAGTGATCATGTTATTGCATATGATCATGTTATTGCATTTGACATTGTTATGACAAGTGACAATGTTTGTAATGCATGTTCGAATTGTCGAAGCATGACTAAGCGGCGGAGCCCATTTGGGAATGCTATGTTCGCCCCCAAGTAGAACACCGACGGCGGGATCCAGTGGGTGAGTATATAGTGTTAGCAGTGGGGTCGCTAGTGATTAGATATGGGCAGAATCCCTAAACCGCGGTGATGGGTCGAGCATAGCCAAAAAGAGTTTGCTCCGCCACGGAAGTACTATGTTCCGCTCACAAATCTATTGAATTCATCTGAGTTGTATGAATGCAACCTTATGAAAGTAATTAGTTACAAGACAACGAGGTTGTTTAGAGAGAGCAATAATGGATCGACAATGTACTGAGGTGAGGTGGTCCGGGTGATGTCAGACGACCGTTCAGATGATGACCCGCGATCGAACTGACTGTTGAGGTTGGTGGCAGCTGGGTGCCGCCCTTGTCACTTGGACCATTTCTGTCTAAGGTCCTCGAGCCTCTGCGATACCACTTGCTCTCTAAGGTCGTAGACCATTTGCGCTGCCTAAATTATCATGTAATTCCCGAAAAGATAGCAAAACTCCTTTGGGAGGTTTGCTATAATGTGCATGACGAGAGACGTCCATCCAGTGAGAATCAGTATAGAGAAGATCGTCATGAATCGAAATAACCACCTCGCCGTTTCTATATTGTCCCTGATCTGCAAAAAAGCGACGGCATATAATTATATGCAACATATGCAATATATATGTTTTGAAATAAAAATCAAAAAAGCATTATAACATAACATATGTAACATATCATATGTGTCACATATGTTCACAAAAAATATGTGACTTTATGTTATGCAATTATTGGGCTGCCCCACAGCTTCTTAAAAACTACTAATTCGTATTTTTTTCTATTTCAAAGCGGGTTATTGCTATAAAACTGTGATAGGTTGTAAAATGGCTTAATAGCTCTATCGCATCCTAGCACCATCGCTCGCCATCTGCAATTGAAATGGGCTACCCACAAAGCGGTATATGTGATGAACACCTCATGCATTGACCGACCACACAACCGCTGCACGAGTGATCATCTGCAAAAGTCTTCTACTTCGATCGTATAAGCACGAATTTTCAAGTCGAGCATCTCTGGAGATGATGCTGGATCTACTACTAGAACAACACGCTCCACTCTTACTGGCTGCCTCGCCGAGGTGATACGCCAGATCAACCAGAGCTCAAGTCACATTCCCAAAAGATCATGCATCACGCGGGATTCTGAGACAGGTTGGGCATACTGTTTCAAGAGCTGTATGACAACGAGTATTCAAAAGATCCAATTTTTTAACAATATAAACAACGAGTATTCAAAAGGACCAATTATTTAACAATATAACATCGAGTATTCAAAAGGACCAATTATTTAACAATATACACACCATCACAATCGATTATATGCATCCATTTGCTAGGCAACGATAGGATGCGTTTTATAAATACAATCAGAGAAGACGTTTACGGGAAATGACTTCGAAAGTTGGCTGCAGTATTAGTACAGAGACGTCGGAAGTTTCGCCTTTCTCTACGATAACGCTCTACCTCACATTGCAGTATCGGCCCGCCTCTGGAAAACTATGTTGGATCAAAATACAACATCTCATCGTATGGCCGTAATATCACTCCATCGACTTAATTAATTGATCCTTTCAGAAAAAGTAACAAGTGAACTAACGAAAGTGTCAAATGTGAAAGAATTATGGAATAACTGATCAGTTATGTCCTAAAGAATCAACTACTCTTTAGTACTACTGCAGTTTAGCTGCTTTAATAGTTAGCTCTGTATTACAAGAAATTATCAGGTCATTATCCATGCAGTTTGTACTCTGCGGTGTTTTGACAGCTGTTATACTGTATGCAGCGCTACGTTCCATGGTGTCATTGTAGCTCGTTATTCGTAGTACTTCGATTATCACCACATGTAAATTGGTATCGTCATCCGATCAAGTCACTTTGCCGTTTCTTTGTAAAGTCATCAAGTGGTCTCTGCTGACGTGATTGCTCATGCAGTGAGTTAAATATAATTACTGTTTCTCTTATTCATCATATGATTACTCACCGCAACTGATACGTGGACTCAAAACAGTTCATGCTATTGCCGTTGTGTAAAGTTGATCAAAGACTCACGTATGCGAAATATCGCATATTATACCCAATGATAAAGAGTGATGTGCAAAAACATTTGCGTCAGTTGTGATTCGAACCCCGCCTTCACCCTACCCGTTGGCTCGTGCTGAACCGTTGCACTACCGACGTCCCGTTATGACATTCTCTTTCTACGCTATAACGCGTTATATGTCAACAGCCAACCGTCAGCGGTCTGGCGCGGGCAGTTCATTATCGACATTAACCCACTTATTCTGGCAAATATTGGGTATCAATAATCAATCAGAATCATTTTATTTGAACGCCTATTAGCGGTAATAAGATGTTACAATATACCCAATGATAAAGACTGATGTGTAAAAACATCTGCGTCAGCTGGTTAGCTGCGAACAGATAACACGTAGCGGTGGAAGAGAATGTCAAAACGGGCGTCGGTAGTGCAACGGTTCAGCACGCTTCCCTGGATAGGGTGAAATCTGGGTTCAATCCCAGCTGGAGCAAATGTTTTTGCACATCACTCTTTATCTTGACTATATTGTAATAGCACACTATCTCCAAAGGCGGTCAAATGAAGTGAATTCTGAAATACACAACACCTATGCTTTCTATTACTATGTCGGTGTGACTGGTTACTTATCTTACTATATCCTTACTAATTCTATGTGATATTGTCGTGTACTCAGAGGTTCTATTACCCATATCTGAGGTGCATTCGTGGCGCCTAAGCCGACTCACTGTAAAAGGCCGATTGGAAGCAAGGAAACTAGAGTCGATGCGATGTACGCTTAAAGGGGACCACATACTGCGCGACACACATTACAATCAAGTAACAATCAACCCACCATCAAGCAGTACATTACCACCTCAATCAACTCCGCGGTTAGACCACACTGACATGTAACCATCATTAAATCATTACACTAGATTGACGAAAAGTCCTTTAACATCCGCGGATATTCACGCTGTCTATTTGTTCCACACAGTATCGGTTATTTTAAAATTGATGGGGATATCTAGGAATATACCCCGAATGAAATTATTCCCGACTTCGATTCGTCGAAAGTGCGCGCCGTTTCAGGAAGACAAGACCAAACCTCACACTGGAAGGAAGACTACGGAAAAGTTTGATGAACTGGAGGGAGTCGAGGTCTCACCACACTCAGCCTACAGACCAGTTGCTGTGTCGTCCGATTACGGTCCAATTTCCGCCGCAATGTAGCATCTGCTGCGTAGACGTCGATTTGAGACATTTGCTCAAATGGAGGAGGCATGTCAGAAGATTTTGACTCATAGCCTAAGGAATGGTATTTTACGCAGATCCGGAAGCATGTAAATTGTTGACAGAAGATCATGGATGGTGATAGTCTATATTCCAAAGGATAAACTATTGTTGTTCTTATTTAAATTCATATATAAACTTTGAATTCTCAGAAAATCTCAGTGGGTGTTGGTCTTTTCCTCAACTTAATACTTGCACAGAAGTCTACCTCATCCTGTGGAGAGCAGTTTTATTGGTGACTGCTTACCATATGGACTTTTCTATCAAACAAGAATGTCTTAGAATTTTCCCATAGATGAATAATCTACAGTGATTCGGTACCTGATAAATGTGCGAATTTCCAGTACTTCTCGATCCTCCTCCCATAGAGCTAAGTTGCTCCGACGAATATACAGAATACTTTGTAATCCTTGCATCAATGAGGAGATTAATTTGAATGATTATATGTATATATGTATATATATACAAAATATACATATATATATATATATATATATATGTATTATATGAAGAGAGACCTACGACATAGGCAATTATCGCCCAGTCTGTTTGCTGTCCGTCATCTATGAACTCTCCACTCAAATCATCATAAGCAGGATTGACGAGAAGGATTTCAAGAAGGATTTGATACCATAGATCACATCCACATGATCAAGGGCTTATTAAGGTTGTGGATGTTGATCCGCCATTATTAGAGAAATGATCTAATAGTTCTCAAAGCCGTCGGCGAGATTAATGAGGGCACAGTCGCTGGTACGTCAAACTGACAATCTTGATGGCGAAAAACATGTCTCGTTCTGGCTGGCGATCGATTTGGATCAAGTGACTTGTAAGCCGCTTTGAATGCTTAGTCTCCATCAAGCACGCGTGATTTGGCTGAAGAGCCTAGTATTTCGCAGTGTACCGCTCTCAGCAATGTGCATTTTACTTTGTATCAACAAGGTGTATTCGACTTTGTCGACAACAAGCTTCACTAGGATCCGCATGAGCTCGTCGAAATACAAGAAGCCAGAAGAGCTGAGATTTGTTGCCAGTTCTTCAACAAGTCATCAAATTACCGCGCTGGCAGAAAAATTGTGGCATCGAACAAAAAGTGGCTTCTCTTTACCACTTACTATTGAAGCAAGCATTTGTTCCGAAATGACCGGGAGACGCCATAAGATCCAAAGAGCAATTGATCTAGCAAGAAGGTCATGATGTCCGTGTGGTAGAACTTGAGGCGTTTTTTCAATGCCAATCTCTATTCCCAACACGATCGCATCTATGACTCATCAATGGAGAGGTGTCCAAAGCAGGTCCGATGAATGCGTACTTTGTTTCAGCAGCGCAGTACCAAACCACATACGTTAGAAAGTTAGGAAGACCAACGACAAGTTTGAAGAGTTGGGGGCGTCGGAGTTTTTTTACACCATTCCTATAGTCCCGACGTTTATCCGATCACAGTCTCCTTTGATCAATGCAGCACTTCTTGAGTGACAGTCATTTCAAATCATTCGATGAAGTTGAAGTAGCATGTTAAGAGGTTTTCGCTTGAAAGGAGCCGTAAAAGTATTTCAAGTAGATCCATTATCTTGCAGAACGATGGCAGAAAGTCGTGTATAAATGGTGGGTTATACTCTGAAGAATAGTTATTAATGTTTTTGTCGTTAATTTGCGCATAAAAATGAAACGAATATTTCTCAGATTTTCTTGCTCATCTCTAAATATGTGTGCTATATGCACATCATTATTTTTGTAAACATAAAATTGATGAATGTGGTTAGTAATGTAGAACATCGGGAAGCGAGATGATAAGCAAGGAGCAGATTCGGCCCCGTACTCAACACTCTCTCGTTATCTTAGGATGCATTAGCCATGTTTCTTAAAAGATTTCCAGAGGAATAGTCTCATCCAGAATTTTTTCGGAATTCATAGAGAAGGCGACAGTCTTCTAGTGGCAACCGAAGCAACACGTGAAGCACTCAACTGACCTTTATGGAGGACACATGCGAGAAAACAATAGCATGCAAGAAGTGCTAGCTATGCGTAGTGAATCAAAATAACGGGTTGCGCGTATTAAGGAAATGACATGAATGAATGATTGCAATTACCTCAAAACAATGCTAAGTGAAGACGAATGCATGGCGCATCTTTCAGATACTGATCAAAGCCGAGAGCTTAGTCCTTTTTATCTTTCTATCCACCATCTGAAAACTTGCTTAGCGTCTTCGAGGCTGTTCGGACAAGGATCCCTTAATGAGGAAGGAAGAAATTGCAGCGGAACTCACCTAATTACTTACTGGGATGGTCCGTTTTCACAGGCGCCCACGTGCGAGCCCACTATTATAGTTTCCATTCGTTTCCCTCTCGAGCAACTGTCGCCCACTATGCTGGTTTGTATCGAGCATGGTGACGTACACGAAGCTCATTCTGTATCTGTTACTAGTTGCCATTTTCGAAAGGCGGATGTTTGACATTGGCCGCAAACACGTTCCCCCACTTCTTGAGTGATCTTTAAGGACTCCTGCATTCTAGCGGAGTCCACTCCAATGTTCTTTCCGACCGTGTGTTCATCTGATATTCTTACTATGTGGTAGGCCCATTTTTATTTCACTACCGAAACATATATTTCCATATAACGAAAATAGGACAGTTTTCGATAATCTGAGCTGCGTAAACAGCTAAACGTTGTGAGCGCCAACTGAATCTTAGAGGACTTCACTCAAACGCCCTGTGAGTGGTTCGCAGATTCACGGCGCAAGTGGAGCCAAACTCCACCCCAACACTCTTCGGCAGTCAACAACAAACGCCCTAGCGCCACAGCTAGGCTATATCCGAGATAATCAAGAGACTTGCTCAGCCATTATTCCACGGCGTTAAATAAGATGACGAAAAGAACGAATTGATTGCTAGAAATACTGGGATCCCCAGAGTGAAAAAGAAACATTGTGAACATGGATCAACAAAATGTTTAAAGTCCAAAGGTTGTGGCATCAGCCCACATCTTTGATGCACAATAGAGCGCTGGAACGACTGTTGAACGATATGGTTGGCGAAGTTTAGGATCCGCCATCTGATCAAAGGCTTCTTTGAGAGGTCTGAATGTGGCCCATGTTGCTCTCTTTCCTCTGTCTGATTCTTCTTTCGTGTTGTTTCTCATATATATTAAGCGTCCAAGGTACACGTACGAGGCGATCTCCGTACAGAAATCATCCAGCCGATTCGCAGCCTTCTCAGTATGGATTCTTCATAAACTGGGTCATCATTCTGTTTATACGTACGTATAAAACAGTCGAAACTAGTAGCAATCAGTTGCCACACGCCTGAAGAGCGATGCATATCTTTCCACTTTTTATTTTGATTTTCCCGAGGATACTTATTACACGGATAAAAGGATAAAGCTCTCGGCGTTGATCAATCCCTGAGGGATGCGCCATGCATTCGACTTCAATTTTTAACTTCGTTTGAGGTGATTGAATGCACATCTGGCCTTTACAATGACTCGCGGTGGCCTCCCGCTGAACCGAGTCAGTGCTGCTTATCCTCCCAGACAAGTCTGAGACCTGTCTGGTACCAATTTACCGACCCCGGAGGGATGGATGGCTTGGTGAGCCATGAGCGCGAGATCGAACCAGTGACATCGTGTGCGACGCAGGGCACCTCTAACCACTGCGCCACATGCGCTCGTACATAAGAGCGCATGTGGCGCAGTGGTTAGAGGTGCCCTGCGTCGCACACGAGGTCAATGGTTCGATCTCGCGCTCATGGCTCACCAAGCCATCCATCCCTCCGGGGTCGGTAAATTGGTACCAGACAGGTCTCAGACTTGTCTGGGAGGATAAGCAGCACTGACTCGGTTTAGCGGGAGGCCTCCGCGAGTCATTGTAAAGGCCAGATATGCATTCAATCACCTCAAACGAAGTTAAAAATTGAAGTCGAATACATGGCGCATCCCTCAGGGATTGATCAACGCCGAGAGCTTTATCCTTTATCCTTTTTACTTATTACATTGGATATGGAATTTCCTCGAAATGTTGTTTAGTGTCTCCTTCAATCAGAAACCTTTTGTGCTATTCCTAGAGAGCTCAGTGTTATTGACACTGACTTCACTGTGTGTGATCACTGCTAGGAACATTCTAACTATCATAGCTATCATCCGACTAGAAGAACAATCAAAATCGCATCATAATATCAATGTGAGCAACAGGCACTGCCTTCCTTGCTTTCCTTATTACAACGTAT